AGTAATGTGAACAAAATTGTTGGCTGGGTATCCTTAATTCGATATTCTCCCTAACTCGATGGAAATCCAGGCTACTTGTACCACTCTCCCTATACAAATGTCTCTCCCTAACTCGATGTCCTCCCTAACTTGAGGCTCTTCAATAACGGATTAGGAAGAATTGACTGTTTAATGTTTTGAATAAGTTTCCATTAAGCCCTCTGGATATTTGTTCAAGACATGATGAAAATCGTTATCTGTTTAGGAATCCAAATAACATTTGTCAGGTATGTTTTCATAATATCAAGCAATATTAATTTATTGCAGACCAATGAGGTATTTTTCTCCAATAGATGATCATCAACCAAATAGCAATTCAAGCTTAATGGTAAGAACAGAAGTTGATTATTGGTTGATTTAAGGTGTACGAAGCTGATTGATACCAGGCTGATTATATAGCTGATTAGTAGTGCATAAAGCGAATTATATCCACATAATTCAACCTCAGTAAGTTAGCTGATCTCAAGCCTGAACAAAAATAATTTAAGCTTAATACTACTCCACAAGCCAGCAATGTGCTACAAACATTTTTAAAGCCTGATAGAATAATATGAATTTATTCCACAATATTGTTAAATGCCGTCAGTGTCACTTCTTACATTTCCGACATTTTAGGTATTCTAAATTCACTGCCTACCTTTCTAATCCCAAGCAGCACCAGCACTAGAGACAAGGAAAAGGAGCTTTTTAATAACAGATCCACCTAGAAGTGGACTGCAACGACGCCGGAAGTATTAACATTTGTATTGCTTTATATTGCACTTATTTTTCATACCGCATTTCAAAAATATAATTCAATTATAGTACTAAAAAAGCATTGAAATACATCGCGCACTTGTGTCTACATTGTGTTTACTGCACTTGAGAAGAATGTTTTACTGTCACAATTTATTGTTTCTGCATTGCTGTTTAATACTCTTCCAGTTGCTATTATTCAACTTAATTTTGACGTGCTTCAAGTTAATGATCATACCTTTTGCCACAAATATGTTTATGTGGTCGAGTAGGTATAGTTGACGCCTGTGAATCAGCGACTGCCGGTTCGAATTCCGAAATGAAAGGTAATTTTTAGACAGTTAATAACAACATAAATATGTAAATCCAATTACCCAAATAACAATTCAGTAACCATTTAGCATCCACTCTGATTTATGATGGTTTTATAACGGCAATGAACAATCCATTTAGTTTAAATATAGCATTTCAAAGTGTAAAACATTCCTGCTTAGTAATTCAGCTTTTTGCTGTTTTAAAAACCTTTTATAGTCTGGCAAGAAAGTCAAAAACTTTTTTGTTTTAAAAATCAATTTAAAACAGTTCTCAATCCCTCCTTAAAACTGTTCTGTAATTCAAAAATCAACGTATTTAGCAATTGTTTATTGATGTCTTGATAAAATACTTTATAAACGTGTTCTATCATTATAAAAGCAACCATAAAACCATTAGGTTTTGCATTAGAGCAAAAAGCATTTATTGTTTATATATTTTATGTTTATATTATACATTTATATTTTAAAGTGCATAATTAACGCACCAATTACTCTGTTTACAAATTGAGCTTAAAATATGGTTCCTCATAGTTAATAAATGCCAAATTTATGACAAGGAAATCTCGAAGGATAGACGAAGTAGGATGAAAAATTCAAGTCGATTTCAGCAAAATTTACTTCTTTAGAAGAACCAGCACACCATCAACGACTGACCATCTGGCGGAGAAGAGTAAAGTGAGCATGGCCCTCGAATTCATAAAACATTGTCGAAAGTTTAAAAACATACCAGCCTTCTCCAGATCTTGCGAATAGATGATAATCGAAATAACAACCGACAGCAAACCACTGAAACTGTTAGTTACCGGAGATTAGCTGGTTTCCGATCCATAGCAGCGATTTTATTCGGCGAAAGAATCAACTTTTCGAAAATTTCATTCAGACGTTCATCCCTGCATAGTTGGATGGTGCACTTTTGTAACCATCCGGAAGAAGGATCATTTTCGGGAACGATTGCGCTTCCAGCTGTTCGAAATGCGAAATGTTGTAAAACAGTATCGCAAATTATCTGAGTTACTGCTCCCAATCCATCGGGAGGAAACCGCCTGGAAGAATCCTGGATCTCACAGCGCAACTATCGAAAGATAAACAAACTTTGACGTTTAACTTTTTGCAGGCGACTTTGCCTCCATAAATGCTGCCATAAATCTGAACGGGTTAGGATCAAGCAAAATGGCTTTAGATAAATACAATTAAGCCTGCATGTTTTCTTCATAAAAGCCATTTTAAAACCTTATTAATTTGTTAAGGAATTTTTGAAAGCCATACAACTTTTTCGCAAATGACCCATGAAAATCAACTTTTATGCCACCGCCATGTTACAATTAGTTTGCTTGTTTTTTTACAATCTTCGATTTTCAATCAATATTTCCTTAGATATAACTATACTTTGGTAAATTTAGCAATGAGCAAACATTTAAATACGAAAATAATAATAAAAATCTCAGCCAAGGTCGATCTGAAGAATATATATATATATATATATATATATATTTTTTCAATGTTAAATAATTAGTCAAATCGACGTTTTACGAGGGTGCAATTAATTTTTTCGATGTTTTCAGGTACATTTCACATAAAATTGAATATGGCACTTAAAACTAGGTCACTTAATGAGAACTATTGTAATAAATTTGGATATTCAACAAGATTTTATACCATCAGTTTCTATTTTAATTATTTTGATAAGATCGGATTCATAAATTCTTTTCTATCATGATTAATGCTTTCCTAGTGGATTCAGCATGCGGCTAGGCGAAATGGCTCGAAAAGGGTTTTTATTGTTGCTAAATAGCTTTTATTGTAGCTTTCAAACGGTTCTCAATGCGTTCGTCATACAACCTTTTGCAGTAAATCAATCTTGAAGAGCTTCGAGAATACACCCTTCAGAACCTTCTCCAGGGTGGGCCAACTAGACATATTCTAGTCTTAATGAGGTTTTGGTGGATGCATTAATGACAAAATAGCCTTGACCAAGGTTTTATGAATGTTGTTTTATAGTTGCTTTGTAGTATTTCATAAAACTTAAAATGTTACTTGGGTAGTCAGCAACATTCCAAAGCAGTCTCATAAAAAGTATAAGATATGAAGTGGTACTCCATTATTATTTTTAATAAAACAAGAAGGCTGAACAAGGGTTGGAAAAGACTGTTGGTTAATGCCTAGATAAACTCATAATATATATTGCTATTAAGCTTTGGGCTGATTATACTCACCAGATTAAGATGTTTCAAAGCTCAACAAAGGCGTAAGGTGTCTATGTACAACAATTGTAGATAGAGCTGAAATTAGGGTGTAACAGCTTTTGTAAACAATGAGCTCCCTCGATGATTTCTAGAAAGTCAAGGCTCGCCCACGTAAATCAACATCACCATCAGATAGGGGAAGGCTTCCTAGAAATCCTAGAGGAATTCCTAGAAATCGTCGAGAGAAGTCATTGTTTACAAAAGTTGTTACGCCCTAATTCCAGCTCTATCTAAAATTATTCAAACAAAGACTTAATTAACATCATTGAAAGAACACTTTTCAAGCATCAATTTGCTACCTGAGGATCTTAGCATTCTTAGATATTCACGCATAATGCCATGTTGACCATTAATTTTTAAAAGATCTCCGGGGGATCAACGCTCTCCGTGGAGTCCTCTGGTCGTTTGTTCAAGACTTCAGGTTCATCAGGTACTATTCTGAAGATCTTCATCTGGCCAGCAATCCTAATCTCATTTGTCTTATATTCTCTCATAATATCATGTTAGCATCGAACAAGTTGCACAATATCGTAGGTGGTACGAATTCAAAACTATTAAGAGCAAGACGGATATCTATTACTGGACAGATAGTAAGTAGGAAGTAATTACTATCTCCCAGATAAAGACATAACCCACTCCAACAGTTAAGGATTGTCCTGGCCACGTCCTTACAACTGGTAGGGATAGGAAAGTTATGTTAGTTCAACATTTACTTTAGAGAGTTGCAGAGAACTCTACGACCCCTCATAAATGTCTCGGGAATTTAGGAATTATGTTAGTAGGGAAGGTAAGCCATAGGATACACCCAGTCAGTGTTGCTGGCATATGTAGTTTTTTTTTTATAAATGTTGAAATTGCTGTCCGGATCATCTGCATAATATCATGTTGCTCAGAAATTATTTAAAACATTTGTAGGTGCTTCAAAACCTCTGTAAAATAATCTATATTATTCAAGATTTCAGGATCAACTGCGCACTTATTTTTCGGCCAGCTCAGAAATGTTTTGCCGAGATTTGCTCAGCCGAGTGCATGGCATTAAATTTTACTGAGATCTTAGCAAACATAAGGTTTGTTTGCTGAGATTCAGCAAAACATTTTCCAAGACTCAGCAACCAAACGTCACTTTAGCTGAGCTCTCACCAAAATATGTTTGCCGGAAGCAAAAATTGCCGAGATTCGGTAAACAATATTAAGTGTGTACATTTAACGTTTAGCGGTTCCATGATTTATCCTTGAAGAAGGCCTCTATACAGGGCCGAAACGTTTGGAGAGAGTAAATTGTTATTAATTTGATAATAAATAAATAAGACTGCCGAGCCACAAACTGAAAGCACAAATTTTCCAATTCAGTCGAACACGTTCATCTATAAATCTTCTTTTGTTGTCCGATAAGCAAACTGCGCAAATCAATTACAGAGTAAACTAGCAATGTCGATAGAGTTGAAACACAACTTGCCAGCACTATATGAGATAATATTCCAACAGTGTTTAATCTCTACCACCGTAACAGATCACGATCTTAGAAATCTTCATGATTGCCTGAAGCCAAAGAACGTTCACTTTCCAACATCAACATAACACAAATTAAACTTAATAATTCATTGAAAAAACCATCGAAACCATTCAACTCCCATTCAGGTTAATTACGTTTGTATCAGCTTCAACTCACCAAAAGCTTCATGATTGCACAAATGTTCTATCCAAAAGCAGCTTCAAACTGCAATCCACTCAGAAAATCCGTTCGCGATCCGCAATCTATGAACACGCTCCTAGTAGCACTTGAAGCCTAGCAGAATGATTGACTCCTTATTAATAGCAGCCACCGCGTTTATCTGACCAGCGAAGTTTGCCGAATGCACGCGCGCGCGTTTCTAATGTCGTCGCCGTCGTCGTCTGTAAGCACGCAAGAGGACACCTCTGAACTTATGACCGCAGTAGAATAATAAACCGATTTGCGAGTTTGCGCCAGCTTTTATATATGTACTTATGTAGCAACTTTAACACTTTAGATGCTAAACCCTTCTCAAAACAAATGTGTCCGAGTGTCGCGACGTCGTCATGAAGATGTGCGCTGCGAAGATTTGTAGCCCCGTCTTTCCAAAGGGTACCCCGAAACGGGCCGAACGTCGTCGGTGTTGAACAACGACGGCAGTAAAAACTGGTGATTTAAATGTGTATAGTTAGACATGTATTTGAAAGAGTGAGAGAACTTTTTTTTTATCGCCAATGATGATAAATACTACTGAATGCATTTTAGCGAGAACTGCATCCGAGCTGTCGCAGTGGACATAGGGGTGGGTCATGCGGATTAAATGCCATTTCTTGAGAACACGAAAAGTCGTTGACGGGATCAAAGCAGATCATTAGCATAAAATTCTCCCTCTCTCTCTCTCTCTCTCTCTCTCTCTCTCTCTCTCTCTCTGGAATAGTGAGTGAAAAACAATGTTCAAAATTTACTTTATCTGACATTGAAATATTTGAAAGGATTAGTCTCACCTCATGGTAATGGTGCTAAATAAGGATTCACTGAAACAAACGAAGCTGTTTTACAAATTCCCTTTGGTTTCCTTCGTTCCCAGATTGTCCAGAAATTTAACCAAAATTGTGAAGCTCATTCCCACAGTCGAATGAACTGACCCCTCCCTGAAGATGACATGTAGGAACTAATCAAAAGATTACCCATAAGAACTGTCCAGAAATAGCTTGCCTAAATATTAGAATCATCAACCGATACAAGCACACAACCCAGAAGAATGGTAGAGGCGAAGAGTCATGTTACACTCTGTTGCAATAAATAAGAACCTGCCGGGGGTGCAACATCATCATCGTCAAACGTGTTTCGTTGGGGTTAATTTGCATTGACCGCGCAGTCACCATTCCAGGGGCCGGAGGGTGAGTGGAACGAGGACAGTGTTAATTTTGAATATCTCAATAATCAGACGAAAATTGATAAAAAATAAATGAGCAGAAAATTAATCGATCTGCACTGCGGCCTATCAAACAACAGCCCCCATCATCAATAACAATAATATTCGGCGTGGGTACAAATTGCCGGCTCAGAATGAGCTGCGTTCATCAAGTGCTGTTGACCGCGCCAAGGCGGGCGAGGCTTCTGCCACCAGTCAGTGACGGCGGCGAGTTCAAGACGATAATTATATTGACACATTCTACCAGGATGTATCCACTGTTTTGTTTGATTTTTAACAGTTCTTGTACTGTTAATTTGATTTTTTTTTTGTAGCATGTGAGCGGGGATATGGTAGTAGCTAACTTATCTATCTACAATTATCATCATTCATTAAAGGTTTTCTTTGGGAGCAATATGAACATCAAACTTACAACCCCCTGTTCTTCACTGCTCTATCAATGCGTATTGTGGTCCCCAACAACTGTTCAAAACTTTAACGAATTTGGCTATAATCACGATTTTGTACGGGCAAATGTTTTTGAAACCGAACTATACTATTCATAAGCTTACCATAAATCCAAATATGTCTCAAATTTCACCAAATATCGGACTTGAATTGATAATACTAACCAAAACAAATTTGTTGAAGACTGCAAGTCGATTTGATCTTTGTTCAAAACGTTACTAATCTTTCACTTTAGACCAAGTGTACTGGCCCACAAAAATAAAAGTTGTAATTTTCCACGGGCCAACCCTCTCACCCTAAGCATTACCTCTCACCCCAGCAGGTCTGGGTTCAATCCCAGTCAGCGCCGCCGGGATGTTCTAAGGCATAACATCTCTGCTCACACCTTCCTTCGGAAAGGAAGTAAAGCCGTTGTTGGTCCCCGGTTCATGAGAAGGATCAGTCGTTGTACGAAATCGAGGTACCCAAGTAACCGAGTGGTTTGAGAGTGTTCGGAGTCAGGAACAAGAGCTCAGAATCGAGGAAAATAGTGTCGGATCAGAATTCGGTGCAGTGTGCAAAGGTACAAAAGGTGTTAAAGTCAAGAAAGGAGCGTAGGGAGGACCGAATCATGAGCCGGTTTCCGATAGCTGCATCTACTTTGAACAAAGATATGAGGATTTGTTTTGCTTGCGGTCGTCATTGTCACATGTCCAAGTCACTCTGTATCCTGCAAAAGATCAGAACTGCCGACGGTGCAAGAAGCTTGGGCATTTTGAAAACGTCTGTCGTAAACGACCCTCAGAAACACGTTTTTCGGCTCCAAGGAAAATGCAGATAGTTGAAGAGATACATGATGATGTTCAGAATACCCCGCGGCCAGCACCGCAGCTGGCGCCCCTCCGGACAGCAGCTGAAAAGAAAGTCTACTACACTTTTCTCACCGGAAACGATATTAATGCATTTGACTGTGCTGTTGGAGGAGTGAAGATAGAGGTGTTTATCGATTCAGGATCAGATGTATACATACTCACATCGGAAACCTGGGAGAAACTTAAGACGCAACGGGTTTTTGTATCTAAATGCGAACGCGGAAGCAGTAAGACCCTGAAAACGTACGCATCAAGTCAGCCACTCACTATTTTGGGAACTTTCCAAGCAGAAATCCAAATCGGAAAGCGTTCCATAGAAGCAGAGTTCCTTGCGGTTGAAAATGGACAGCGGAATTTGCTGGGCGACACGACTTCGCAACAACTGGGAATCTTGAAGATTTGGTTGGAGATTAACCGAGTTCTGGATGGCAAAGATACGTTCTCCAAGATATACAACAATACGTATTTTGATAGACCCAACTATTACTCCGGTGTTCCAGCCGTTACGACGAATCCCAATGCCTCTGGAGGAAGCGGTTAACCAAAAGCTAGATGCACTGCTTCGTAGAGATATAATTGAAACAAAAGAAGGTCCAGCAACTTGGGTATCGCCGTTGGTGGTTGCCAGTAAGGCGAATGGTAATATTCGACTGTGTGTTGATTTGCGCAGAGTAAACCAAGCCGTTATTCGAGAAAGGCATCCAATGCCTGTTATTGATGAGGTTCTGGCTAAAATTGGGAAAGGAAAGGTTTGGAGCATCCTCGACGTTAAGGATGCGTTTTTTCTTTCTACTTGGACGGCGTCGGTGTAGAGGGAAGCTCTGTTGTAGAACATGATTTGAGGCTCAAAAAGGTAGGTAAGTAAAAAGTGTTACTGTTTTATTTTTTCTAATATTGCTCTAGGTTCTTGAAAGATTGATGGAAAAACGTGTTATTCTCAACTGGGAGAAGTGCAAGATACGGGTAACGGATTTTGAGTTTCTTGAATACCATATGAACCCACAAGGAATCATGCCTTCAGATTCGAAACGTGATGCTATTTTGTCATTCCGTCAACCATACAATGAAAGTGAAGTCAGAACTTTCCAATGGCTTGCCAATTACATGGGAAAATTTATACCAAACTTGGCAGCCATGGATGAACCTCTCAGAAAACTAACTCATAAAGGTGTGAAGTTTCACTGGGGTGAAAAAGAGAAATCAGCGTATCGTGCCATAAAACAAAGATTACCAGGCTCTCAAAGGTTAGGGTTCTATAAGCTAGAAGATAGAACTTCTGTCATTGCCCATGCAAGTCCACATGCTCTTGGTGGTGTACTCATTCAAACAGATAGAAGTGGAAATTCACGTGTAATCTCCAATGCTTCTAACCCAAGTAACAATTTTGGTTTTATGAGGGTTCTGTAGACCATGATTTAGACTTGTAGCATGCTTAAAACCTCGATAAAACTTGCAATGTTACTTGAGAAGTCACTAACAGATACTGAGAGAAGGTACTGTCAGACGGAAAAGGAGGCATTGGCGTTAGTTTGGAGCGAAAAAAGATTCCAGGTCTATTTGATCGGTAAAGAGTTCGACTTATTAACAGACTGCAAAGCTTTAACTCCCGTGTCACGTCCATGTGCACGCATCGAGCGATGGGTATTGCGCCTCCAGAGTTTCCAATACAAAGTCGTACATATTTCAGAACATACTAATAGTGCCGATGTGTTATCTTGCCTATCGACTTCCAATTCCTTTTGATGAGACGGAGGAATTAGTAGCAAACGAAATAGTAACAGCTGCAGCGAAGACGATGGCTCTAAAATGGGAGGAGATAGAGAAGAGGAGTCAAGACGACCCAGACATCAAGGAGATAGGTGAAGCATTGAGGTTAGGTAGGATTGATAACTTACCACTGGCATACAAAATAATTTCATCAGAGCTGTGTATGGTCAACGATGTTTTGTTGCGGGGTGATAAGATTGTGGTGCCCAATAAACTACGCCAACGAACTCTTGAGCTGGCCCATGAAGGTCACCCGGGTATAAGGATTATGAAAACTCATCTTCGGGGGAACGTTTGGTGGCCTAAAATGGACTTGAATGTAGAGAGATTTGTCAAGGCTTGTCGAGGATGTTCCTTGGTATCATCATGTGAGTAGATCACCTTTTCGTGGTACGTTACGGGATGTAAGATCTACCACCGATTCCTAGTCCTGACTTCTTCAAACTAGGGGAACAGGAATTTTCAGTAATCAAAGGAACACATCTTAGTCCTTGTTACTTTTATGCCTTGTTGATAGATCTTGAAACAAGGAAAAAGGTGAGAGCTACCCCTATCCGATGATGTTGTTGGTTTGCGTGAGCGTACTTCGATTCGCGTGTAAAGGGCCTTAAAAAGATTGTCTACAAAAGCTTTTGTGCCGTTATCAAATGTTATGCCTGAATGGAGAGGTGGAACGACAAAACCGATTCATTTTAAAGCGCTTGCGCATAGCTCAAGAGCTTGGATTGGATACAGGAAATACGCAAATATCTGATAATGTACCACTCATCAAGTCACACAATAGAAGAATAAGAAGGACAATAACTTGAGCTCAAAATTTTCCCCGGAAGAATTTACTGTAGTCCAGAAGAAGGGTACTGAAGTAGTTATTCGCTCGACTGAATCTGGTAAACAATATAGAAGAAGTGCAGCCCATTTGAAAGTCATACCTGCAAAGATCGA